ATTAATATCATTAGCTTGTCGTGTAAACTTATCTGAGAAATATCACAGATCGCTCGTTTCCACTTTATTTTTTACGTATATTTGAACGTTACTATTTAAAACGTACAATCGTATAAAATACTAGTTAGTATATAGGCACGAACGAAATTATACAAGCATAATTGTATTTATTATACATATATAAGTAGTTGATGAATTTTATAGAAAAGAATCTGTTCAATAATACAATGTTAAAAGATTTACTTGAATCTAAAGTGATAAAACTTTCGATGGAAATAGAGTGCAATAACAAATTTCAACTATACTTTTACATTCGAGAGAAAACGATATTGTCAAAGAAGCTCTTGTGATAAAGATATAATCTTGATATATTCTGAGATGATTGTTCAAAGGCATTATACATATATAAGTACATGCCATTTTGAAGAATTTGTCATTTTATATTTTCTTAAAATGAACTGTTACTATTGTAGCTATGATCATCCTAGGATATAAATTAATGATCTTTATTAAATTTGAAATATTTTAAATACGTGTATAAATAAAGTAATGTAATTAAAGAAGTATTTTCTCAAATACATTTTTTTTATTTCGTTGACATTAATAAATTATATTGAAGCAATGAAACGACAAAATATTAACATTAACGAATATGAAAGCAGTATTAAAAAATTTGATGAATTTTAATATATTAATCCTTCACTGAAAATATCAATTAAATTTATCTCTTCTAAAAACTTTGAGCGAACTTAACAAAAAATTATCAAGTGGATATAGAAAGAAAATTTATGTCTAATAAGTGATAGAACCGCAAAATCTTGCATAGTAATCCTTTCAATTAGTTTTTTTGCAAATAAAATAATTGCAAAAATTGGTTGTTTTATGGACATATGGAGGTTTACTCCTTTAAATCAATATATTATTAGATTTAACTATAACAATAATTATTTATTAATATTGTTTAACAAAATTTTACAAGATTTTTTTTCTGCTTATTTATTCTCCATTTTAAATCAGCGTCGCCACTATTAAACTCGCTTTTTTAAATACTCGCGCTGCCACAGATACTGAAATGCTAGCGTCGCATAGCGGTGAAACGATGCACTAATCGTTCTTATTGTCCTTGGCGCACACACTCTCTCTCGTTGTCTGTTACGTATTATATATTTGCCCTAGTCAAACATTATTGTCCTTCTTGTCTATGAGTAAGTGCTGCCATCTATCATATTTTTCCAATTTAAGCTTTTAGTTCCAACAGAATTTAGACTGGCTCAGATGGCAGCACCATCCGTAGACAAGGACACAATATTGTGAGACAAGGACAGCGATAGAGATTAGTTCCATCGTTTTCCCGCTACATGGCGCTAGCATTTCAATGTCCATAAATTAGACAAATTTTCATTTGCAAAAAAAACTAATTAAATGAATTAATTTGCAAACTTTTGCTATTGTATTGTCAAAATTGAATCCTCAGTTTTCTTTCTATGCTTCACTTGATGCGTAAAATGCGTGTATAATGATTTACAAATTCTTTTCAACAGATTGAAGAATTGGCGCGAATATTTAAATTAATATTAAAACTCGGAATAATAATTTAAACGGAAACTAATCGCTTGTCGCTATCCTGCGGAATCTTTGTATGTAAAGATAATAAATTCAAAATCCTCAAGAAACGAAGAAAATGAAATTGCATAATGAAAAATTAAATAATCGCGGAAACCGATATATGTAATGAACAACATCGTTTAAATATTTTCTCGAGTTATGAGAGAATAAATTGAGCGAAGAAATAGGGTTACAAGTTGAATTGAAGTAGAATTAATTCATAAATGAGAGGGCAAAGAAAATAAATCTTACATTGTTACTATTTTTTTTAAAACAGAATGTGCTGTATTTTGTTCCTTGGTCGTTATGAACAATAAAAACGTAACATTCACGCCTTGTTCTCACCACTCGAGTCGGTAATGTTTCAATCTTAACGTTAATCCTATTTGCCGTTAATTTTGCGTTGCACTTACGTAAAAATAAGGCCGCGAGAATACTAAAAATAGGATATAAAAATATCAATTGCACGCGAATGCAATTTCCGTCGATTTCTCGTGTATTTGTATCAGATATTTCTAACAAAATAAATTGCAGTAAATTACAAGACACGTCATCGTGGATTTTCTAATCTTTGAATGCTAGATTTCGTCTTTGTGAGAGATATGTTAGGAACGATCAAACCGTCGTCGGGCTCTCGGAAATTCTCAGATACGTTCGTGTTGCTCGTGTTCGTCCTCTCGCTGTTTGAATTCGAATTCTGCAGCTTCGGCGTGGATGTTCTACCCTTTAGGAGAACCGCTTGCTCCGTGCTTTTGCTAGCCTCTTTGATGGATATCGAGGACACGTCGCTCAAGTCTGGCAGCCCGTAGTTGCCATCGAGTTGCTTCTTAACGGGCGATATCCTCTTGCCGGTGTTCATCGGCGTCACGTCCGAGTTGGACGACGAACTCAGAGCGCTCGCCTCGCGCGTCTTCTTCAGCGTGGTGATTGCCCAACCTAGACCAAGTTTCTTTAGAGCACTCTCCATCTCCTCCGGGGATGACGCGTACTTCAACACGGTGGAAGACGGGGTACTTGCTATCTGCGAGACACCCGACAACTCGGAAAAGCTGTTCGAGCTCGTGGACGTGATTTTGTCCCCGTTGTCTTTGCACTCGTTGCCCGCGTCGGCGTCAGGACGAAGAAGCTGCGGTCCCTCCGTCTGCGGTGATCCTCGATCGTCCGTGTCGCGCTGTAATTTCTCGTCAGTCGTCTCTCGAACAGCCTCCTCCTTCTTGTCCTCCTCCTCTTTACTTTCCGTCCAATTCCGACCTCCTATATTTTTGGACGTTTCAGCCGAGTCGAGAAATACCGAGGTCTCTTTTTTTACTAACTCTTTCGACGGCGACAAGTTGCGCGACCTTTCCGACTGTTGTTTACGTAGATTGAGCGAAGGAGAAATGTGTTCCAATGGCTTCGCTATAGCGGTAGATCTCGTTGCTTGTCGAGTCTCGGCAACTTTTCTTGCTGACAGCGGGCTTCTCGCGTTACTTTGGCTTTTATTCGCAGTGTCCGGCGTGTCGAATTCGATTATCGTCGACAATTCGTGACCCGATGATTCAATTTCCGGCCTGAAAGCAAATATTTCGTTACGATCGTGTCGAAAGCGTCCGAGTCGGATTGAATCGCAAAGACGTTGCAAAACGTTGAAAATAAAATTTTACCTATACGGCCCACTGAGCAAACTCACTGGTGGCTTACTCCTCCCGTTGGAATGCGAGTTATCTACGGCTTTCGATACTTTCGGAGCGTCGGTCAACGATGCAACGAAATCTTTAGTTCTCTTCGCCTGAAAAGCAAATAAATAATTACTCGTAAAAAATCTAGTGAAACGTGACGTATTCTTCGTGTCTGTAATTTGTTACGAAGAACTAGACTCTATTCGCGTTGGTACGATATTGTTTACGTAGTGTTCCGCTGCTATCGCTAATTTAAAAGAATGAATTACCTCTTTGTTACGCGGCTGTCTCGTCGTAGCTGTACCAGTCCTCTCTATTTTGGAAATATTTTTAAAATCATTGTTGTCCGTTGAAGTTTGTATCGAATGCTTGATAGTTGAGATTTCCTTCGACGTAATGAAATTATCGTTAAGACCTTTGCTCTGTTCCAATATTTCTTTCGATATCTTTTCTATCAGTTCTTCCTCGTAATGTCTCGTCAGGTCGGTGTCGTGTTTCGGCGTTGACGTTAACACTTGCGACGGTTTCACTCGGAATCTACTCAACTGAATGTTCACCTTTTCCTCGTTTGTAACTTCAGGCTTGGCTTTCTCTCTTTCCACTTGCTCTGTCCTTTGTTCGGCGGAACAAATCGCGTTGTCGTCGATCGTTGGAGTTGCTATTTCTGTCTCTTTGATTTCGTCGGGGAATTCCTCTCTGGGAATTGCCTTGCTCTTAACGATCCTCTGAGATTCGATCAGCGTCTTTGCAAGCTGATTGTGAATTGCTTCTATGTTTTCTACGAGTCTGTGGACATTTTCCAGATCGGTGGTTTTCAGTCGCGGCTCCGGTAATTGCATCAAACTGGTTTCGTCGTGCGAATCGATCATGGACAGTTCCATACCTGGAACGAATCGCGCGATTATTCTCGATTAATTATCGATTAATCCTCGTTGATTAATTGCTAACAAGTTAATGAAACTAACGTACCTTTCTGTTCGTTTCGAACTTTTTCAATAAGACTGGTCAAGGAGATTATCCTTTCTGCGCAGATAGCTTGGAGATCCTCGTACTTTTGTAACATTTGAGGGCAATTTTTCAACGCGTAACTACGAATTTCATCGAATTTAGCATGCATCTGTTCGCATTCTGGGTTGTTACATGTACAAAATCCCAAGGAAGGTAAAACCTGCGAAGGTAAAACCTGTAGATCGTTGCTCGTTCTCGACGATGGGTGATCATTTTGCTGACATTGAGACGTATCCATCGATGTCGAATAATCATTCCTAGTGGACGATAACGTATTATCATTGTCCGTCTGAACATCTATGGACGGATATCTGAGCAATCTTTTAATTCTCTCTAGGTCAGGTATATTTGAAGGCATCCTCATGGTGCGCGGCGATGGGGTTTCCGGTGTTGACACTGGACTAACGTCTCTCCTCCTCAGGAGCCTTATACTTTCACTCGCTGAAGAATCTAACAGCTCGAGAATAGAGAGGTTGTTACTCAGAGCTTCGAGTATGTCTCTGGGTTTTACTGGCGGTGGACTAGCGAACGAAGTTGACGTATCCGAAATGTCTTTTATCTTGATTCTTCTCGACTTGGATTGAGTCCATTGTTGCTTGCTCGTAGCTGGTTGTTCTCGAGTACCCGTTGAATAAACCTGAGTACTCTGCGTGCTAACGTCTATAGCGATTTCAGCAACCTGCGGTGGCTTTCTATCCGTGCAAGTTTCAACCTCCTTGCTAGGCGGCACGTCTTCCGTACACGCGTCCTTTTTCGGGCTGTGTTGTTGCGATTTCGACAAAAATTTCGAATGTTTCTTCGTGGGAGACCAAGGTTTGCACGGGCGTGTCGAACATGATTTGTGGCACAGTTTTGTTTTCGCGACGTGTTTCTTCTTGTTGAGCGTTACTTCCGGGCTTTCTTCGTCGTCGGTAACTTCGTTCGTTGTTTCGGAACTTCTCGACTCGCTGCTGTCTGCTTCTCGTCTAACGATCGTAATTTTTGGCTCGATTGGATAATGTTTGGTGATCGTTTCAACGTCGTCAGTAACAGATTCCTTCTGCGATGCCAATTCCACTTGCGTACCTTTATCTTGAACTTTGTCTTCCGTTGCAGTTTGCACAGCAATTTCTACTTTTTTCACAGTCGTGTCGTTTCTTTCCTTTGCCTTGTCCTTTTTACACTTATCGTCGAAAGATGCGTTTATTACTTTAATCTCTGGCGACAAAGGCTCTTGAACGGACACGTCTTGGGCAGGTAGTCGAGTCTGAACGGATTTGTCTCTTTCGAACAAGGATTTGACAGACGCGTCGAAGATGTCGTTTGGTAAATCCGCCCCGAATTCTTGTAACAACAACCGTTTCTGTCTTTCGACCTTTTTCAACATGTCTAATATTTGTTCCTCGCGCGAAGCTACATTCTCCTCGCATTTATTTTGCGAAATTTTGCTGGTTTCCGTAGGTTGACTGAAGCAACGGCAAGGTCCTTCCCAATCGACACGGTCGTCTGTATCTTTGTTGCGTTTTCTCGATGCAAGAGTAATTGGTCTTTCTACGGAGTACGATACGCATTGTTCCTCGCGCACGTTTAAAGATTCATCGTCCAACAGCGTTTTTAACGCACGATTTAACTTCGTCTTGTGTTGCTCCCTCAAAATTTTTCTCCGTTCTTCTTGCATGTATGTGTCTCTCTACGTGAAAGAAGCATTGCGATTAATGAAAGATACATGACGAAATTCGGAAAATTAAAACACGACGAATTACTGGGTAATGTTCCACTTGACTGGCTTTCAGTTTACGTTCGTCGCTCGTAAGTTGATCCAGATTCTGCACAAGCGTCCGATAATCCCGACGCACTTTTTCTCTCAATACAGCATTCTCTCCGCGTTTCTTCGCATTCTTTTGACGATCTTCCAGTACACGTGTCTCGGCAGTTTGTGCTCGTTCAATTTCTTTGGCCAAATCCATTGCACTTGGCTATAGACGTAACTTGGATATGAAAATGAAAATTATTTGGATGCTATTGTTTGTTACAAACCTCGTTCCACGTATGGATTTTTTCGACTACGCCAGCTGGTTGATCGTACACGTTGCTATGATGTTTTTTATGATCGTATAATTGTACTTTATCGGTAGCTGGGCATTTAACATATTTCGGTGTCTTTGTTTCTTTAGTTACATATTGTTCACTACTATCGGAAAAATACGACGAGTCGTCGCTAAATGAACTAGGGCTATCGCTGTTGATAAAGTCCGAGGTCGTTTGTACGTAATCGTTTGGATTATACCTTGAACGTCCAAAAACATTCGTTAAAAATTCGCATTTTTTGAAGTTTAGAGTCTGAATACATACCTCGTCGTTTTATCTTTTGCTGGAATACTTGTCGTCTCTTTCTTAGAGTTTTTATCATTGAAATCAGATTCGGTTGTACGCACAGTTTGTTTAGGCAGTAGTTCTATAACTGAATTTGGAGTGGATTGTTGTTCTAGAATCGAATCACTTTCTGGAATTTCTTCCATCGTTTTTGCCTTTCCTGGAAATTTAACTGGAGACTTGACTGAAGATTTAACTGGAGAACGTACTTTAAAATCATTTTCTGCAATCTAAGAAAGAAATTGTAACTTACATATTCATGAATTTATCGATGAATTCAATTGTTCAAAAATAGCATACTTTTATATTGGCTTTTACTTTTCCAGGTGATTTTTTAGAAGCGTGTTTCTTTGTCTTCTTTTTAGTTTTCTGCTGTTTGTTACTTTCATCGGTTTCATTTTGAATAGAAATACATATGGTGTTCTCTTCGGGTACTGTTTTCTTGGAAAGATTTGCTATCATTGTAGATCTAAGATCCTCCATTTCTCTCACTAGATGCAGTCTTTCTTGATGTTGTGCAGCTTCCTTCTACACAGATTTTACTTAATCTTTCATACATTTTATTCTAACATATTACACGAGTATTTGTAACATTTCTTCGCAATTTAAACAAAATCAAACACATTGAAAGGGAGATATCTTACCTGTTGTATATTTTTAATTTGCTTCGTTGCCTCTTTTCCCCTTTTCAGTGCCGCTGATTGATTTTTCCTATGTTGCTCGTCTATTAGTGCATCATGGTCAGGTTCTAACGCAGCAGATATATGTGCTTGGCCAATATCTGCCATGTCCTCTTGATACTTTTGTTGAACTTGCATGATTTTTCCATTGTATATCTGCCTCAGGCTCAACTTGTCGTTGTTCTCAAGCTTTTCAAGTTCCTCTTTGGCTATGCATTTCGTACGTTTTAAAAGTCTGTCTGATATTTCTTTCGATTGTTGTCGCACCTGTGCAAATTCCTTGAGTGATTCTCCCAGCCTTTCTATCATTAATCTTGTCGTCAATCACATTAATACTTTATCTCCTTTCAATACGATAAAATAGTTACTACAATGTTGCTTGATATAACGTTGTATATTTAATATTTATTACTTGTATCGATTAGAAATTTATGAAATTACTTCGAGTTACAAAGCGTTACAAAATGTATAGTGCCCAAGTTGCTTGATACCCAAATTTTGTACAATCAAGTAGAAAACACTGCGGAAACATAAAGTCATTTAACAGACCGTTGAGACAATAAAAATACAGTAGACGGAATACACTAGGGAGATCAAGATCGAAGTATTGTTCCTTTCGGGTTTTTTTCCCCTTAATTATAATTTTTTAATAGAATTTTGAATTAGTTGTGTGCATATATATTTGCTTGATTGTATTCGCAAATGTTTGGTTATCAAACGAGAACACTCTGTGTACAATGTGTGTATACGTCAATCAGTGAAAAAAAAAGTTGTTTCGTTCTTATTGTACTTGTGTATTTTTAATTTGTCTTTCAACTATCGTGTAATTTATGATACGTATACCTGCTCCAGTCGTAACCTGCGTCGACGATCACGCTCGTTTTTCTTAATTTGATCCAAGTCGGATAATACCATTCTTCCTCTACGTATGTTTAAACGATTCCCATTGACAGTAACATTAATGGACATATTTTATTCAAATAATGTTATCTGTTGTTCAAATAGATTTGGGACAAAATGTTCCTCAACTCGAATTTAAAATGATAGGAACGGCCATTCTCACATTCGACCAACCAACGGAACATCGCTAGTGACTTTGTAACTGTACGTATAATTCGAAATATCGACACGTACGTATCTTGATCAGTGCCACAAAACTTTCGCGCGTATAATTCAAACGTGAAGTTCGTTCGGGGAAAACGAATGTTCAATTTTATTATGTAATTCGTACGAACAAAGTTGATGACAGAATTTTGTAAATTACGTTGCTAACACTAATGCTGATGAAATTGTTTCAACGATATTCTGGGAATATTTATATAGAAATAGAATTATAGGGAATATTTTGGGAGCACTATCGGGACGTGCTTTATGAATTGAAAATATAAATTTCTAAAATTTATATTTATATATTTATTTGATATATTTGTCTATTTATACTTTATAAAATGTTTAGAAATATTAGATACAATTGTAACATCGACGATTACATTATTTGTTTTATCATTGATCAATTTCTTTTTATTAATACCAGCTTCAGGATATTTATATAAAGCTCCAGTTCACTTATATACAGATCCATTTAAAGCAGCAGTCTTAGCTGAAATTTTCTTGATTACGATTTGCATATTTTTTAAATATTATTATTATATATTATTACGAGTAACAGTCAAATATCAAAATGCACAAATTATTGCCCCTTGGATAGCGATCTCAATTAGAAAAGTTATTTTTTAACGTGAGACAAACGACAATGATAATCCATGAAAATTATTATACAGTTCGCTAATTATTTTGATGAGAAACAGTGATATGTAATGATGTTTTAAAACCAATTGATATTAGTATATTATATAATGTACATCTAGGGGAATATAATTTTTTGAAAAGGAAAAATACGCCTAGTGGAAATTACTAAAGCGTCAGCCTTGTATCTCGTACAGTCGGTATTGTTACAAACAAGCAATATTCAGTGGCGACTACGTACATGCCCTGAGATATACGCTTTATCGTTCAAGTATCACATATCCTTTACGCTTCTTAGTGATGAATTCATTCAGGTAATTAATGTTTGTCCAAACAAATCACGAACCGACTCTGAAACTATTCGCTAAGGCAAAAGTCGTCGTTTCATTTATAGCAAAGGTGATGATTACGAAGTGAAATAATCGCACCTTGAAGTGAAAACAAGTGAAAGAGGAAAGATATCTATGTTAACTCGCAAACATCTATCAATGCGTGTAGCGCATAATTCTATGATATTCAGACATTTCCCAACGACGTTCGAGATCATCGTCACGAAGATTTATTTGATCGATACACGCGATGATTTGTCGTAAAACTGCCGCAATTATGCTTACAGAGGAAATCTAATGGTTGTAAAAGAAAAAAAAAAGATGTGTGTTTCTAAAAAAAATACCAATAAGATATATTGAACGATGATTGCAATTCAGTCACGATATGCAATTTTAGGGACGTATGGTAAGTACCTAGTGATCTATTTTGTTTAATGTCGATATTGCAAGAACGGATTCATACTTTGATCACGAGGTGCAATGTTTATTAAACTTTTGGCGAGTACTATTTTTACAATCGTCCGGAGCATGGAGCGCTTGAGAAAATATATTGGAAATTTAAGTTGCTAGTTGCTACAGCAGAGAGTAATAAATTAATGTCGGTTTGCAAATCAAGATTTTGACTTTCATGAGAACTGTGAATGATCCATTTTGATTGCAGTACTCAAATGGTATACATCTTTGTTGCAAGTTCAGTTTTTGAACGATTGCCGTACATTTATTCTTTGAGCGTATGAAAAAGGAAACGTATAACCTCGTTAATTTCATTTACTTGCTATTTATTATCTAAATATAATTGAGTGATTAAGTTTTGCACGTACTGTTTATATTTGTGAAAATATTTGTAATTGCATTAAAATTGAGCTTCTATCTGAAATAAAAGACTGTAGCAAGACAAATGGCGACGTTTCTTCGTGTGATGTTTACTTTTGATTTCAAACCAAACATTTTTTGTACAAAAAGTAATACGGTATAGTCGACGCAATTAGATGACATTGCTTGGTAATATTTCATATGTAAAACCACGTACGTAATATGTTGGCAATATTATTGGTTATATATATAATTATTGTATAATTACATTGTGTATTTCAATAAGTACACAGTTGTGAACGTTAAATTTTTGAGTAAATTGCTTTCAATTTTCTTCCTCGTATATATTTCAGATTAGAAGAGTACGTGGAATCAAAATGGCACGCAGACGTAAAAGTGAAATGAAATCATCTGTAAAGACATCGCTTAAGTATGTACCTGTACGAAAATCTAGTAGACAAATAGCCAAGAAACAATTGGAAGAAAAAAAGGTTAACGGAGATGTTTTACAAATAACTTACTCAAATGACTCTGAAGATGGTAAAAGTACCGCGGAATATCAAAACCACGTGCTTCCAAAAAAGAGTCAAAATTCTTTAAGGAAGCATAACAGACATAAAAACATTTCTAATAGCAACGTACTTGTAATCGACGAAGAGTGTTCGTATTCTGCGACATCTCTGTATAAAAAGGATGCTAGTGAAAGTGATAGTCAAGATGGAATAGACGTTATAGTCAATCAGTCTGATAAACTCAGCCCTGAAGATGTTCAGCAAGTAGTTGTTGGTAATCCTAATAAAGAAATTGTAACTGAATCTGATTCTGCTGAAACTGAAATATGGCCAGAAGATGTAATAGAAGAGACTGTAATATGTGAAGAGACGGAGGTTAAAGAACAAGTTAAAAATAGTGATTATAATTTAAAACAAAATGATAATGTAGTAGTAAAAGAAGTGTTAGTTGTAAACAATCCTTCTTTAGAAACAAAAAATTTTGTAGAATATACTGTGATACAGAATGAGAATGGTATGGAACCGATGTTAGTAAAATCTGATTCAAGAAACGCACCTAATAACGAATGTTACTACAATACAGAAAAAGATTCGTGTAATTTACAGAAAACTAAAATGGAAAATTCCATGTCAGCCTTATACATAGATGTGCCAATGACGTCTAACGACAGAAATGACAAATCATTTAATTTAGAAAAATCATATACTCGTAGCAAAGACGTAATTAATGATCGAGAAAACTTATATACAAATAAAGATGCGTATGCAAGAAGGTTGCAAGAATCTTTATCTAGAGATAATGTGTTTTGTAAAATAGATAACAAATTAGCAGATATGCAAATTAGCGAACCTTCGAAAGAAATAGAAAAGTTAGTTAATGATTTATCGAACATGGAGAACGTAATGTCTCCGTTACAAATTGCTGGTAATACTGAGAAGATAATACCAATGAGCATCGACGATGAAAGTAGTTCTTCGATACTGGATAAAATGGAACAACTGCATCAATCGAATAACTCTGCTGATAATATAGAAAAAACTGTTAGAGAATTAAATAATGATTCTTGCAATGGCAAGGTAGAGTGTGAAAATCAGCATTTACTAAAATCAAAAGTATTATCGGATAAAAAAAATGGAAATCAACGGAAAACAGTAAATTTCCAACAAATTAACGAGGAACTGTACGGTGACAATGAAGTGGACAGCAAAATTGATGGAGAAGATACAAAATTATCTAGTAGCAGTGAAAATAGCAACGATACGTTATTATCTATGAACAACTGTAAATTAACAGAATTTGATACAAAATGTAATAACAACGCGAATGATATCGATAAAAAAGTTGAATTTAGAAGTAGAAGTGGTAGCACTGACACAACTGGTTCAGAAAGTGGATCAAACAGTTCTGGTGTAAGGAGGAGTAGTAGAATTAGGTCAATTGGTTTAATGAAACAAAGGTATGTATTTTAATGTGTAAATATACGTGTCGTGTAAAATATATTTTATCAAACAAATTAACTAAAATAAACAAACTTTCTGATCGTATTAATAAGAAAAGAACACTGCGTATGATTGTAAAATATTTTAGGGCATTCCTTATTTTATATATTATACTGTTTTATTTTTCAGATCATGTGGTCGCGGATTAGTCACAAAACCTAATTTAGATAGTTCAAAAACAAATGTTCAACAAGAACGAGAAAAAATAACAAATAACGTTGTTTCAATTGCTCAAGAAATGAAAATAGATAATCCACCTGAATCTCAATCGGATAAAGAAAATAACGTCAATAAGACAGTAAATACGTTTGAGTCCCTTACATTGACAGCAGCAACTTGTAATACCACGGGCTATGATTCAGATTCCTCTAAACCTGTTAAAGTGAAATCTCGTTGGCGAAGATCGAGTGAACTTGAAATGGGTGGATCGAATACAGGAACTGTATCTACATCGGCAGTTGTGTTTGGAAATATAATTGCGAATACATCCGAATCTGGATCGTGTTCTGCCATTAAATCCACAAGTGGAACTTTAACAGATATTAATATTTCAGATTCTATATCTGGATTAACGTCAATTGCAAATATTCAATCTAATACAGATATAGAACAGACGAAAGAAGCAACGATGTCTGCGAACAATAACAATATCGTGCAAATTCCCAAAACTGTGGGTGCAAGAATTCCATTACCTATGGTTCCTGAAATAGAGGACAGAGAAATGGAAGAAAGACTAAGTCAATTTGAATATTTACGTGAAAATTTATATTTAACGGAAAGGTGTGTGAATAAAATGACGTTTGCAAAATTCTTGAAAATAACGATTAACAATAATGATGATAATCTTCTAGATACACGAATAAAGAAACGAAGAGAATGGTATGCGATTGCTTTTTAACGGAAGAAGAAATTGAAAGGGGAGAATTAGGTTGCGGGGAAGATTGTCTAAATAGACTTCTCATGATAGAGTGGTACGTAGTGTGCATTTATACATTTATAAATTAAATATAAAACACTGGTAGAAAAATATGTTTTATACATGTTATATACATTTTTTTAGTGGGCCTCGATGTGTAGTAGGCGATCGTTGCACGAATAAAAGATTTCAAAACTGTGAATATGCGAAATGCGAAGTATTTAGAACGGAAAAAAAGGGATTTGGTTTACGAGCTGTAGTTGATTTATTGGCGTAAGTAAGTTTGTACATAACTGTAACGTGATTGAATTTTTTTATTAATAAATGTTGTTTTTAAACACCAGAGGAGAATTTATAATGGAATATGTAGGTGAAGTGGTTGATCCAAAAGATTTTCGACGCAGAGCAAAAGAATATTCAAAAGACAAGAATAAACATTATTATTTCATGGCGTTAAAGTCTGATCAAATCATAGACGCTACTATGAAAGGAAACGTTTCTCGATTTATAAATCACAGTTGCGATCCAAATTCTGAAACTCAAAAGGTAAGTATAGCTGGTAGAAATAAATTCGAGATTGTATCGAACTTTATCTTTATAATTGAAATTTGTACAGTGGACGGTGAATGGTGAATTGAGAATTGGCTTTTTTAATAGAAAATTTATAGCTGCTGGCGAAGAAATTACATTTGACTATCATTTTCAACGTTACGGGTAAGTACGATGGATGATATGTTTGATTACTATTTTAGTATTTAACAAAAATATATCGTGCTAAATTTTATTATGAAAAATTGCATTAGCAAAGAGGCGCAGAAGTGTTTTTGCGAAGCACCCAATTGTCGCGGTTGGATCGGTGAAACACCGGAGGAAGAAAAAGAAAAGATTGAAAAGAAAGAAAAACGTGAAAAAGATATGAAGAAGAAGAAAGATGAAAAGAAACAAACTGATTACATGGAAGATGAAGATGTGAGTAATTTATGTAGTTGTTGTTTCTACTAATTTAAATATTTTCTTCGTTATTCTGTCATTCGATTTGTTATTAATGTTATTTCAGTTGGAAGAAGAAATAGATAAACTATGCTCGGGTGGCTTGAAAAATAGAGCTCATACATTAACATTAAGTAGATTAATGGTACGTAGCAGAGAATTAGAACACAGAACACGGCTTTTACGTCTCATACAAAGCGGAGAACAGCCATGCCGAAGATTATTTTTGGATTATCACGGTTTACGTTTGATTTGGAGTTATGTTATGGATATTTCCACTAATGACTCTGACGAGGCGCAGCAGTTCCGTCTAGAAGTTCTGAAAACTTTGAATACACTTCCGATTCCTAATAAAACTATGTTGATGGATAGTAAAATTTACAACGTGGTAGAAAAATGGTCGAAACGATTGTATTTCTCTTTGAGCGGAGATTCTCCGGAAGATGATCAAGGAAAATTAAAGTCGAATAACGATGAATTACCAGTTAACTGTGACAGCAACGAAAAGAGAAATCTTTACTCATTGACCGCAGATACAGAGAAACAAGAAAATAATATTGAAATTACTGACATAAAATCTGATAATATAGATCAAAATCTTATTCCCGAGTTAGCTTTGAGTCTTTTAGCTGAATGGTCAAATTTAAAAGAAGTTTTCCGTATACCGAAAAAAGAAAGGATTGAACAAATGAAAGAACATGAGAGAGAAGCAGGTATTTACTTTAAATTATAATTACAATGATACAAAATTAATATATATTTTTTTCTTTAAGATCGTGGCTATAGAGAAGAATTGGAAAAAGAAGAAAAAAGAGGAACATCGTATGACAGGTATTATAAGTTTATAAGTTGACGGATAATATACGATCAATGATTAAAATATGAATTATTTTCAGGCATAGATCTGACAGATATGGAAGGAACGAAATGGAAAAACGTGGAGATAGAAGACGAGGACGAGAATCTCCAGAATCTGCAGAGCACACTCGAACAAAAGATAAGAGAATAGAGGAAAGAAGTAGCTTAGTTCCAATTCCACGAATGACAAAATACGAACGCCGACAATTATTTGCTTTGAAAGTAGCAAAGGAAGAAGAAGAGCGGCAGCGTCGTCAACAGCAAGAATCGTGGCAAGATCATGAAACTAGATGTATGGCATTAGGCATAGACCCCCATACCACGGCTATGGTAGATCCACAAACGGGATATCCTGTCTTTTATAATCCGACAATTGGACAATGGCAACAGTATCCTACGCAAGGTTTTATTTCATATACGTATATTTAAATATAAATATTTACGTTACGGTAAACATACATACGTAAAAATGTATGGTTTATCTTATAACTTTGTTACATTTTTAAAAATTATTGAAATGTTTTGTTGCATCGTTATTTCATTGATGCAAAATCTTATTACAGACGGAGAAATGAATCAGCAATGCACTTCGGTATACGTAGGTGGACCACAGGCAGTGTCTGGTCATACGCAATCTGGGATAGTATCGCAAAATGTTCTACCGTCGTCAATTTCTTCTGAAATATCACCTGTCATGTCGAGCAATATACCTTCAGGTGTGCCTCCGGTGGTATACACGTTGAGTCAAACGCCTGTATTTAATCAAAGCACAACAGCTTATTCTTTACTATCCCATTGTCATCAACAACAATATCCTGAAGGGCAGCTACCGACAATTTCGAGTAATTTAGTTTCCAGTGGAACATCGGTTCCACTTCAAACCGAATCTCTTTACGAGCACATGGAAAAACAGTCGGACCAACAGTTTCCTGCAACGTTCAGACAATCGCAGCCTGAAGTACCTCCTATAGATTTACCACCAAAATGGAAAAGTGCGACTGATAGTAGAGGCAGGACTTACTATTATCACGTGAAAGAACGGATATCGCAATGGTTACCTCCTCCGCCAGATCATATAGGAGTTCAACCGGATTCATCGTCGACTTCGGAATCTAGCGAAGAGTCTAGTTCATCGAACGAAGAGGATGAAGAGATTGACGAAGACAATAACGAAGAATCGAAAAATGAGGAGTCACACTTGGACAACACTTTGATAGAAAAGCCATTGAATGTCTCTAGGCATAATGTAGCTAAAAAAAGTTCCGTTCATAATGTAACCGGAAGTTCAGCACTTGTGCCAGAAAATAAGAAAAGAAGAGAGGGTTTGGTTCAGGAAAGAATTATCAGCGTATGTTATATTTTATGCTTTTCTTTTTTTTTTTTTTTTTATAGTTGGTACCTATAATTGTATTTACTACTACATGTTGTGCTTGTGCATTTTATAGCCACGTCGAGAAGAAGACCGTATGGATCACAAAACGCACAAGGGAATAAAGGAAAAATTACGGCGTCAGAAAGAAAGAGCCAAATTTAAAGAATACATTGAAAAAATACGAAGACATCGACGTAGTAATAAATCTAAATCGCATTCACGGCATAGTTTAAACAAATTGCAATTACCTTCGTCTGACTTATCCACAATGTCGGAAAGAAAGATTAAAGATACTTTTAGAATAAATATGGCAAATGTCATGGTACATTTTTTGAATCCATATAGGAAAAACGATTGCAAACAAGGTAGAATAACAAATACGGAAGATTTTAAGCATCTTGCTAGAAAGGTACGTTTCTATAGAAGAAAGCTTGTTTGGTTTCTAGATCAGTATTGTTGTTGTTGTTGTTGTAGTTGTTGTTGTCTCATACAGTAACGTTAAATTAAATTTTTTTTAAATTACATTTTTTCTGTTTTAGCTTACACATTTTGTACTCGCGAAAGAATTGAAACACTGTAAAAGCGTTGATGAATTACAATGTAACGAGAATGTTAAACATAAAGCTAAAGATTTTGTACGTAAGTATATGAGTAAATTCGGCGCTGTTTACCAGAAAAGTACTGACGAAGATTAATTATCTAACTTATGATATATGAAATTGTTATTTATTATACAACTTCTTCACTTTAAAAATTGTAATATATCTACTAAAAAAAAAAAGTATATCAAGTATAATATGCCTGTATGTAGATATATATCTGTAATTACTATTATTGTAATATAGATGAATTTGTACATGCTTCATAAACATTCTGGTAATTTAGCCACTAAGAAATTAGCAAATTTTCTAATTTCACATACGTTCGATGTATAAACTTTATATTTTTATTTCTTAGATAATAATACGTTATGTCTTTAGAAAAATGCATTTTATGTCCTATACGCGTCTTGCATAATTATATTAAATATTGATTTTTTTTTTGTTTTGTTTTTTGTAATTGTCAGTTTCAAAAAATGACATTAAACACTTTATTGCGAAGTTATTGGAATATTTAAATATTGTACATAACTCTAAATTATAAAAGAATTTTTAACTATTTCATAAAAGTAAGTTGCAATCATCTTCTTGATATGTGTATAAAAAGCAAATGAAATTAAAAACAATAAATTTTGCATTTATGATCTTATTTTCTACATATGTATCTAAAATTTTATCTATTGTAATTTATATATAAAAACCGGCGAAGCGAACCTATAATATCGTATAAAATAGATTTTGTCTGATCTGTGATCGAACGTTGTTCTGAAATCAAAATTGATAGTATTTCTGATCGCCAGAGGCGCTAGTGAGTATTGCGAGTATATACATACTTGCACGATGTGTTCTAACAGCATGCGTAATTCCATCGAATTTTTGCAAATAAATTGAACAAAATTCTTTGATAATTTTATCTTTTAAAAATATGGTCTACACATCTTTAATCATATTGATCGCTTGTTCTATTAAAGTTCGAAGTGATTAATATGTTAAAAATGAATGCGCAATAAAAAAATTTGACGCACGAAATGCGAACTCGCTAGGGATTAATGAGAATTCGTCACGTTACGTGTACAATGTGGAGCCTTTTCTTTATATTCCATTATATATTGGGAAAAAAAGTGATCTTTCACGATTAACGTAAAAACAGAATATTTGTCGAACAATGGACATCTTGAAACCTGAGTTGGTTTGGGTAGATGGTCGATGTTACAGAGTATTAGAAAATACTAAGCGTACAAATGATGTTTCTCCTTACTTTGAAGATAATAATTACCAGCTAGATGACAAAGATGTTGAGGATGAATGTTACGACAGCAATATAGAAATTGTACCATATGGATCAACAAAATTTAAACATGCATTTCACGTACCAAAGTATAAAAATTATTTCCTTTTAAAACACACGCACATATACGTAATAAGTTGGCAATATAATGTTAATAATTATCAATATTTTAGAGCATTTTTCCCATTTATTATTGGAGCTAAACATGCCGTACGTAAAAGATTAGAAACTGAGACTAGAACGGTAATACAAATACCAAAGTTTGGCCAAGATGGAGATATTGGTAAATATATTTTAAATTTTATGCAAGCGAAGTGTAAAATTTTTGTTTCGCCGTATATTTATATATCTATATGTTAATAGCCATAATTGGTAATGACTACAAAGGAATAATAAGTGCGCGCCATAGAATTAATTTATTAATGGAGGCATCCAGAAAAAAAATAGAATTTACACATTTTTTATCAATACCTCTTAACGATGGACATGTAATAATGAAGTTTAATATGTTTAAAAACCAAGTATTGACAAATTCAGGAAAAACAAACAGAGGTGTGGATGAAACAATTTTTCAGATACCGAGTAAATTGCATCTTACCATCGGGGTAATGAAATTGCTCGATGATGCAGAAAGAAATCAAGCTGTGGAAGCTTTAAGTTATTGCAACGAGCATATTATAAAGTAAAGAGAATAATATGAAAAGTATCTTTAATTATTACAAGTGTACTAAAGTTATTTCATATCGTTTCTTTGTAAAAATTTGCAGACCTACTATTGAAAAATATGGACAAATTCCTATACTCTTACAAGGAACTGAAATAATGAATGATGATCCTGCTGAAGCGAAAGTTTTATATGCAAAAGTAGTTGACGAGACTGGAGTTTTACAAAAAATGGTGGAGGAAATTGTAGATTATTACGTCAAGATAGGTAGCGTATAATATTTGTTGATAAAACGATATAAGCATGCTGAGAATCAATCCATAGCTGAAATAATAGCTGAAGTGTATTAATAAATAATAAAATGATATGTTGCTTAGGTTTAATAGATAGAAAATACCAGACTACTAAACTGCATCTAACCCTTATGAATACAAAGTTTAAATTGACTAAAGAAGAAAGAAATGGTAAAAACTTCATAACATTTGATGCAACAGAAATAATGAAAGTAAATACATTTAATTATTTAAATCAAATTATGTACTGAGATAGCTTCGTATCGAGGCTACGGCATAAGAACCTAAACTGTACATAGTTTTAATAAAAAATTGAAATTTTTTAGGCTCATGAAAATACAATCTTTGGGGAAACTACGTTAAAACAAATTCACATATCGCAACGTCATACAATTGGTAGTAATGGATACTATTTAGCAACAGCAAAAATTAATCTACTTGAAGGTTTATAAGTGATATATATCATTTAGACTTGTATATGCACTTACTTTTTAAAAATTATAAGATGGCGATTGCACGTATAATTTGTTATATAGGAAAAATTTAGTTTGAAGATAAAATATTTTCTAAAAATATATTGGCACAATTTCTTTCAAAATTATTATCCTTTTTTAAATGAAATTTTATATACTTTCTTTATTACGTAACTCTTATTTTACTGAATATAAGGTAAATAACATATAATTTTGAATATCTCTACGATATTAGTGCTCTATGATACTATGTAGCAATAAGTAATGATTTGTAGCTGATCATTTAAATTTGATCAGAGTTGTATTTATATTTACAGGTGAACTCGTGTAAAAATTTGAAAATTTGATTTTTCTTCTATATAATTAAGCCTTTAGATACATTTGCATATCGTCAAAAATAATACAAGTCTGCTGGATTAAGTTTCTACATAATTTAATCTTTAGATACAAAAAATGTTCACGTACATGTGTATTCGGAAAAATTAATTTTTTGAATTATAAGCAAAGAAGTATATTTATAGTAAGTGTTCAAACTGTTTTAATAATCATAAGTATGCTAGAGATAATAATCTCAGTAATAATTTCAAAGCAATATAAATTACTAATAGCTTTTTTATGTAGTTCGATACTTGTCGATATTAAATTTATAGAATTAATATTGCTGGATAATAGTAGTTCATTTTTTCTTATCTATTTTATATGTATAATTATGGCAACTCTTTTATATGTTACAGTATGAAATGTGCAATCGGCAATTAAAAATCCTATTGGACAAAAACATTTTGTAATTCATGTTTTTAACAAGAAGGTGCCATGAATTCAGATATATTAATGTAAGTTTTTAACTTTTCTTTTAAAACTTTACCTATTCTTAAGAAAAGAATTATTAAATTGGAATATTTAATTAGAAAATATTAGTACTTGTACTGAATTCTTGACACTTTTTATTTTACTAATGTTCTTCTTCTACTTCAATTGACTGTCACAGGCTACCAATGACTCATGAGACACAAAATCAGCTCAGAGACACAAAAAAATTTAATATTCATTTTCAAATTGCAATAATTCTTTTCTTCAGTCAATTGAAAAATAAAAATTTGTATGATATATAGAAACTTATTTTTTATTACATTAATATTTTTTCAAGTGAAACAATTTTTTTCTTTATTAATTTCCGATTAGTTCAATATTTTTAAAGAAATTATAAAAGTTATCAAAGTACAACGTGTTTGCATTTTTCTAGATCTTGAAGATCTAGAATGTTACTATTTGTATTTTTTAAATACAAGAGAGTTTCATGTACCGTATTTTTATATAAACTATAATAAAGAATAAAATAAAAAATAAAATATTTTATAAACATATACGGAATAAAATATTTTTTTGAATGCTGTAATCATTCTCATCTCACCTGATGTTAGTTTATCGCTGTAATAGTCTTATGCTTTTTTTATTTTTTGGAACGTGACACACGTCACGATCGGATCGAGGACGCATGCGTAATAAGTACGGAAGTAATGGAAGTATCATACGTCAAAATAGTAAAGACGAATCAGAATCATATGATAGTTTTTATCAAGTCACATACGCATAATGAAACTTGAGTTTTTGACTTTTATCATCGAAAAAAACTCTAACCTCTTCCCCCTTGCGTGTAATATTTAATACGAAATATTTGTAAAGAAATTAGTTTTTAATTAATTACTAATTTATTAATTATATTCGACAGAAATGATTCTATTTTAAACGTATAACGATATTTAGTTAAATTTCTTTTTAAATGAAAAATTGTATTGAATTGGACATCAAACAATTGTATTTTATAACATATTTGTTAGATGATCGAATTATTTTTACGTGTATATATATACAAATATTGCACCTGTGTATCTACAAATAATTATAACACTTCGAGCATTTCTATTTCATTAAGAAAATAAATACAGTTCATTTAATAAAATGCAAATTTGCATAATGTAAATTTGCATTAATTTATATATATAATCAATGTCTTTTATTTACACTTTTTCTTTTATTTGTAAATTATTATAATTTTTAATACCACTAAATATTATTAACTATGATATATAATTAATTTGTAATAATATCAATTATTTTGATATTACTACATTTAACTCAAATATCTTTTTGTGTTGATAATGTCTTGTTAGTAATTTGTTGCTGAGTTTTTATTACTTTAATATTTTTAGATCTGCAGGATACAATGTATACTATCTCTACTATGACACAATGTACATATGTTATATAATATAATATATACTGATTAATAGCTAAATATTAAAATTGATTTATTTAATTTTTTAGATTTATAAAAAATGCATGGAATCAAGAGATTATTAGTTTTCTGTACATTAACAACTATCTTACCAATTCTACTTCTTGTAACACCATTGTATTTACGTCATAATTTCTATGCAAGTGTAGCATACGCTGTAACGGATTCTGATATATTGGAAATTACAGATGGTATTTCTACAATATTCTGCTCTGTAAGAATACTTTATATTGTAATTAAATGTTAAATGCAGTACTCTTTCTGTGAATGAAGCATTTACGTATTATGTAGGCACATACTTTACAAATGAATAGAACGTTCAATGCATTTCAAATGACACAAAAACCAGAAATAACTCCATACAGAAAACATATACGCCTTAAAAAAAGTATGATTTTACCAGATGATACGCTAGAATACTGGGGATTCTATCTTTTGGAGGGATCGAGTGTGGCACTTTCTGTATGCTCAAGGTAATATAATATTGTAGTATTAATTGTTAAACTTTTAAATTAATATATAATAAATATAATTAATATAATATAAATTAATATATAATTATATATTATAACATTTGCGTAGGTTCCAAGGTGCATCTATACTTGTTGTTAAAGGAGAACGCAATTTACGTACATGTGGAATGTTGGAGCATCACAATACGCAAGTTGTAGAGAGTATATTTCTACCAGAGGCAAAAAGACAAGTTAAAGTAACATTTAAGTCAAATACAGAAAAAATTAATTTTGTAAACAATATTGTACAAAACAATTACAATGATACATTAGATGACATTGAAGATAGATTATTACACAATATCACTTTAAATAATATTGATCAGGATATTGCGAATCTCTATTCTCATTTGAAAGGTCATTCTGTCTCTAACGTTAAAAATCGCGAAGAAGAACCAAAAACATTACAGGATAAAAATATTGAATATCTTGTAAACCCTCTGGAAAAGGAAACTGTACGTAATACCAGAAAATTAAGGCACGCTAAAAAAAAGGAATACAAAAAACAAATGAAAGAAACAAAAAAAAAAATTGCAATGCAGCGAAAAAAAAATATGCGAAAAAATATCAGAAAAAATTCTTATATTAAAAGAGATATAAGTGATAAATACAGTTTAATGCTAGAAAAATTGTTAAGAAGAAACTTGAGTTTAGAAGATAATAGAGATGATTTTAAAAATGAAATGAAAGCGCAATATGAAAAACCAAAAGAAAGAATTAAAAGAAATGAAGAAGTTGTTAATCCCACACATTTGCTTGATCAAGGTGTTAAACATGGTGGAAATGCAGGAAACATAACTGATATTGATAATGATTCTTCTGTATCCAGTTTTGAAAATGAATTATTTAAATGTTACGGAGGCTCAATTTTAATGGCTCAGGAATTTGCACCATCTGAACAGTGCACTAATGTCACTTACTTATTGAATAGCAAACATATGCAGGCAGTACATAATGTTGTAGAAGATGGTTATTATTATTATATTTTTTACAGTGATAATGATATTGTATCAAATGATATATATGCATTATTTGACATCTATAAACCTACCCTTCGTTACGAGAATATAACAAAATCTTGTCTAAATCAAACAAAATGTAGCTTTTCGATTAATATACTGTCTTCTGACAGAGTAATTGTTGAAATACCAACTAAAAATGATTTTGAATATGAGATAGATGATGTTAATTTGCTTTTATCAATTTGTCATCCACGTATGGAAGTGTATATAATTTTTCCTGTTGCAGTATTATTCTTTATCCTTGCTTGTGCTTTTATGTAACATATTTTATTACTTTTCCACATGCTGTGTATATATCATGAACATTGAATTCTGTTCAAATCACATATCGTTAAAAAACGATTTTACTCAATTGATAAAACAAAATATCAGTATATATATATATAGATACATAGATTATAAATATTTGTAAATACATTATACATATGCATTATATATGTGTACAATCAAGATATTAATCGTTAGTTTATGCTACGACATTCTTTGCCTTATGGATCTCTTATTCTCCGTACTGAATATTCCATTGATGTAATATTTTCAAAACATAAAATAAATAACAGTATGTGCCATTAGTGATTTGAATAGAAGTCGCATAAAATGATGCGATACTGAACGTATAAAGTATTTTCATTTACAATTATATGATCTTTATATTAGATTTATTTTGTTGATTATTGTATTCAAAAGTATGTATTTTTATTAACAAATTTCAACATTTTCGTTGATGAATGTAGAAAATAAAATTTAATTAGTAGACACAATTCCATTAAAATACCTTGATAAATAATTAAAAAACCATTTTTTATTTAATTATATATTATCATTTAATATATTTTACATACGCATATATTACATTATTATATAATTATCATTTTTAGATCAAACTATCAAATTTCAATCAATTATCAAATATTATCAATCGTTATTAAGTATATTATTATAAAATTTGCATACATTTACTTGCCATTTTTATTATCAAAACTTAAATTATATTATACACAATTATTTAAAATAAAGCATGAATAAAATCTATGTTTTAATTTAATTATATATATTATCATTAAAATTAAAATGACTAAAAGCATAATTAAATAATATGATATTATTTAATTCAGTTATATACATTATTTGTATATACATTTCATACAGTATTATACACTTCGTACAATTTATGTTTCAATAATAGATATATACTCAATTACAAGTAAATACTTGAAATAAAAATATACAAGTGTACAAGCACAGACTATTTATTAAAGAAAAAAGAAAAATAAAAAATTTGAAACTTGGTACGTATACACGAACAGTAACATATTCATATTTGCCTCGCATGCCCCACTAGGGGATCGCGGAGGATTATGGGTAACTGACGTACTTCCCGTATGCGCAAGACAGTCGGGAAATCGCGTGCAATAACAGCAAAGAAATTCGATAAAAACGTATATATTGCTCGCCTCTGAAAATTAATATCTCGAAACGTTCGAATTGTTCCGGATAGATTTCGCGGGTTGAATCGCGAGAAGGGTTGATCAAAAATTTGAAGGCCGCTCGCAGCGCCATTGTGCGGCACCCATAAGAATATTCCTTGTGACGCAATAGGAACTCGTCCTTTCCGTCGACCTACGGTGAGTGGAACATGTCGCATACGTCTGAGCGAAGGTAAGTTCGATTTTTTCACGCGTAAATTGATAAATATGCATGCTCCATTGCGTTTCACGAATTTCTTGTGCACGTCGCGCCTCCGTAAATCCGGCGGCGGCCGCGGCCGGACGTCGACACTTCACGATATAGTCTTAAAAAATAGTGCCGCAATCAGCGAATGCATGGGACACGAGACTGACAACATGGCGTGCATTCGTTTTTGTCACATTGTTCGCAAAGATTTTCGCCAGTGTCTCTCGTCTGCCTCCTCTCTGTTCTTATAACCTCTGTAATTGTTGTGATACGTAGCCGTGCGACGATCGTTTCGCGTGCAATGGTGATTCTCAAGTTTCCAAGAGATATACTTGGATGTTGCAGTGTGTGCAGGAGCTGCATGCTCTCACTGTGCTCGTCGTGCAAACACGTTTCACTTTGCGTTTAAAATTACGTAATAGAAAGAATGAATATTGCTCGATAAGGCCTGATGAAACGATACGGATTAAACGACATTGAACGGTGCCGCGCAATATCATTTCCATGTACGCTCATGTAGTTGAGGCACATCTTGCTACGGACATGCTTTCGCGTGAGTCACTGTCAACGCATCTATCAAATCACCGATATTGTTCGCTCGATGTCCCACCTTAAATACGCGTCTTTGTGCGTTTATTTATTCTTGGAGTTTCGCGATTTATTCGCCAAGTTTCAACAAGGAATTTCCGTATTTGTGAAGATAAAACGCCTTTCAAGGCGCGGGATTGAAAAAACTGTGACGTTTCACCACTTCAAGGTCGCTGAAATTCAATATTATTTGTATCTTTTATTATTTCGAAACGAGCGTGTGATCGAACGATGCTCGGAAGGATCGAGTCGTTCGGAAGAATTTGTTAATTTCTGCTGCGGCAGAATTTGAAAATTACAACAATCGTTTCATGACTGTTGTAATAAAAGTTACAATGGCTACTTCAAAGCTAACTTTCGTTTTGCAATTGTGTTTCAGAAACGATGATCAATGGGCAGGAGATTCCAAAAATGGTCCTAGTGAGAGTGATCAACAGACGTACGATGGCCCTCCGGGCATGGAGCCTGATGGGATCATTGAATCTAACTGGGATGTTGTAAGTTCTAAAGTGTTCCAAACGAAATTAAAGAGTTCAAGTAGTTTAAAAGGTGTGGTTATGATAATAACATTCGTTGTTGTACGTTCTTTGTTATTGGCAAACTAGGTCGTTGACAACTTTGATGAAATGAACCTGAAAGAAGAATTACTGCGTGGTATTTATGCTTATGGCTTTGAAAAACCATCTGCAATTCAACAGCGTGCCATTCTGCCATGTATAAGAGGACATGATGTAATTGCACAGGCACAATCAGGTATGAAAATTGAAATATCTGTTTTACTGTAAAAGCGATAGAATTTGGTTTCTAATTTCTGGAATGTTCAACAGGAACTGGCAAGACTGCTACATTTTCAATTTCTATTTTACAACAAATTGATACTAGTATCAAGGAATGCCAAGCTTTGATTCTAGCTCCAACAAGGGAACTTGCTCAACAAGTAAGTAAAGACATGAGTAATTGTGAACAAAATTTCTGAAAAGAATTAAAATCAATTTGAAAATCAAAGTTATGCTAATGTAGATCGGAATTATAAACAAGATTTATATCAACGATTGACAATGACAGTGTTTGTGTAACTTAAAAAAATTCTCCATTTTTTTAGATCCAAAAAGTTGTTATTGCTTTGGGAGATTTTATGCATGCAGAATGTCATGCATGCATTGGAGGTACCAATGTACGCGAAGATATGCGAAAATTAGATCAAGGTGTTCACATAGTAGTTGGTACACCTGGTAGAGTTTATGACATGATTAGTCGACGGGCATTACGAGCCAGTAGCATCAAACTGTTTGTGTTAGATGAAGCGGACGAAATGCTCTCTCGTGGTTTTAAGGATCAGATTCATGATGTATTTAAACTATTACCTCATGAAGTACAGGTACGTAGAAATTCTTTAATTATTAAGATAATTTTCTTTTTTTTTTTCTTTTTTTTTAGTTTAATTTCTATATATTATTTTTATATAAAAATTCAATTAATGTAACAAATTTTTATTTTTGTCTCTATTTATTTTTATTTTTATTTTTGTATTTCAGGTTATATTATTGTCTGCAACCATGCCAACAGATGTATTGGATGTGTCTACATGCTTCATGCGAAATCCAATTCGCATCTTAGTTAAAAAGGAAGAACTTACACTAGAGGGTATTAAACAATTCTTCATCTATGTTGAACGTGAAGAATGGAAGTTTGAGACTCTTTGTGATTTATACGATACATTGAGTATCACTCAGGCAGTTATCTTCTGTAACACGCGGCGTAAAGTAGATTGGTTAACGGAGAGTATGCGTACCCGTGATTTCACAGTCTCTGCTATGCACGGAGACATGGAACAAAAAGAGCGAGATCTCATTATGAGGCAGTTCAGAACTGGATCGTCTCGTGTCCTAATCACAACTGATCTTTTAGCACGTGGTATTGATGTCCAACAGGTATCCCTCGTCATCAATTATGATTTACCTTCCAATCGTGAAAATTATATCCACAGGTAAATTACACGTATTTATATATGTTATATTGTATCGTATTATACATTTTTTAATGATTTGATTAGAAATTAACATTTAAATGTTTAAAGCATGCAACGTAAAAACTGAAATTGAAATCATTATACGCGAAAATTGTATTACAGAATCGGTCGAGGTGGTCGTTTTGGCCGGAAGGGAGTGGCGATTAACTTGGTAACAGACGACGACAAACGGACCTTGAAAGATATTGAACAATTCTACAATACTAGTATTGAAGAAATGCCAATGAATGTCGCAGATTTGATTTAAATCTGACTATTGGCTATAATTCATTATAATTAAAAAAAAAATAATAAAAGTAAGTGAAAATACGGAGCTCTCAGCTGATCTCTCATGGTGTGTGAGTATATATAGAGTGAGTTGGTGAACTATAATCGCTTATGTAAACGCGATCTACTGAAATATTCCAAACGTTCTCGTCTCAATTTCATTTTATAACAGTAGATTACAGAAATAGTTATCCGTTACGCTAGACAAAAATTAGTACTATATTACAATTATCACTACGGATACTACTATATTGCTATTCCTATCACTATTGCTCTATTAACTATTATTACTGGTATATACTCTTGCGCTGTTCTCTTCTCTTGTTCAATATTTATTACTACTATTTTTCCCCGCTACTGCTCCTACTTTCTACTATATTAATATATTACCCCTATTATTATCACTATAAATATCGGGATTGCTGCAGTTTTTATTACGAATTAGTAGTGTTGTCGCATCGATAAAAATACAATCATTGCGACCAGTACTATTGTGAGACGGA